GTCCTAGGACTGCGCCTACAACATAATCGCTCGCATCGCACATTATTTCAAATGGTAAATTCCAATCAGGAGGTTGCATAATAGGTGTCGATATTAAGGCCTCTTTTAGTGTCTCGAATGCGTTCAAGCATTTATCGTCAAAAATAAACTCAGCCTCTTTCATTAATAATTCGGTTAGTGGCTTGGTGATTTTAGAGAAATCTTTTATGAAACGTTGATAAAAACCCGCGTGTCCTAGAAAACTTCGTATTTCTCTAACAGTTTTGGGTGGTTGAAGGTTTTTGATAATTTCGATCTTTGCTTTGTCGACTTCAATCCCTCTGTTTGATACAATGTGACCCAACACAATTCCTTGTCTCACCATGAAGTGACATTTTTCCCAGTTGAGCACTAGGTTGACATTAACACAGCGTTTCAGTACTAATTCAAGATTTGTTAGGCATCCGTCGAAACTTTCTCCACAGACAGAGAAATCGTCCATGAATACTTCCATGATTTCGTCTAAGAAATCTGCGAAGATCGCCATCATGCATCGTTGGAAAGTTGCAGGTGCATTACATAGTCCAAATGGCATTCTCCGGTATGCAAAGGTACCATAGGGACATGTGAACGTAGTTTTCTCTTGATCGTCAGGATGAATGGGAATTTGGAAGAATCCTGAGTATCCATCAAGATAGCAGAAATGGGAATGTTTGGCTAAACGCTCGAGCATTTGATCAATGAATGGTAATGGGAAATGGTCTTTGCGCGTAGCTTTGTTTAGTTTCCTATAATCGATACACATTCTCCATCCTGTTTGCGTATGTTGTGCTACCGATTTGCCTTTTGTATTTGTTATAACTGTAACACCTCCTTTCTTAGGCACCACATGAACTGGACTGACCCAGTTGCTATCTGATATTGGGTATATGATGCCTGCCTCTAATAGTTTTTGCACTTCCTTCTTAACAACTTCACTTAGGATAGGATTTATTCGTCTTTGATGTTCTCTAGAAGTCTTGCAGTCCTCCTCCAGCATGATGCGGTGCATACAGAGAGAAGGGCTTATTCCTTTTAGGTTTGATATATTATAGCCTAACGCGGTTGGATATTTCCTTAACACACTAAGTAGTTTTTCGGTTTCGATCTCTCCTAATTCAGCATTGACTATAACTGGTCGTTCGAGTTCTTTATCTAAGAATTCATACCTAAGATCTTCAGGTAATGTTTTAAGTTCTATACCGGGTTTCTTATTAGTTGAGTCAGGATCGAGTGTTAAGGCTAAACATTCGCTTAGGTTGGCATCTAAGTGTTCCTGTTTCCAGTCTTCGTTCTTGAGGATAGTCGGTGTCTGAATTTTCAGCATCTCAGAGTAGGTGTCCTCTTGGCATTCAAGTTCTTTGACACATTCATTAATGATATCTAGGAGACAACATGAGTCATCTATAGCAGGGGCTTTAAAGAATTGGGAAAGAATGAATTCTACTTTTTCTTCTCCTACCTCAAAGGTAAGTTTTCCTTTCTTGACGTCAATGATGGCTCCTGCAGTAGCTAAAAATGGTCTTCCTAGTATGATGGGAATGTTTGAATCTTCCTTGATGTCCATTATTATAAAGTCAGTTGGTATGTAAAATTGTCCTATTCGGACAGGAATGTTTTCTAGCATATCGACAGGAAATTTGACTGATCTATCGGCTAGTTGTAAGGACATCTTGGTAGGTCTCATGTCGCCTAATTTGAGCTTTTCGCAAATAGATAAGGGCATTAGACTGACACTGGTTCCTAAATCGCATAGAGCTTTGTCTATGACAGATTTTCCAATTACACATGGTATGGAGAAACTACCAGGATCTTTTAGCTTCGGAGGCATGTTATTTTGAATTATGGCGCTACATTCGGCAGTTAGCATAACGGTTTCGTTCTCAACGATTTTTTTCTTATTAACCAGTATTTCTTTTAGGAATTTAGCATATGACGGCATTTGGGTTATAGCTTCTGTAAACGGAATAGTGACGTTTAGTTGTTTCAGAAGTTCTACAAATTTCTTGAATTGTCCCTCGTTCTTGGATTTTGCAAGTCTTTAAGGGTATGGAATTGGTGGTTTGTATGGTGGTGGAGGCACATAAGGTTTTTCTGAGGCCTCTCTGTTCTCATTCGCGTCTTCCTCTACATTTTCAGATTGCTCTTTCGACTTTTCTACTTCCTTTTCGGGCTTCTGATACATGGTCGGGTTTTGGAGTCTAGGATCTACCGGTCCGTCAAGGGCTGTCCCACTTCGTAATGTAATAGCATTTGCATGTCCTTTAGGATTGGGTTGAGGCTGTCCAGGAAATGTACCAGCAGGTGCGGAAGAACTAGCTTGGTGTTGTGCTACTTGGTAGATTTGGGTTTCTAACATTTTGTTGTGAGTAGCTAGGGCATCTACCTTGTTTGCTAATAGCTTCAATTGTTCACCGGTGTGAACGTTTTGATTGAGGAATTCTTTGTTTTGTTGGGCTTGATTAGCGATAAAATTTTCCATTAGGATTTAAAGGTTAGATTTCTTAGGAATGTTAGGAACATTACCAGCGGGTTTTTGATAACCTGGAGGTACAGCAGGTGCTTGGCCAGGTGCATATAAAGCGTTATTGCTCTTGTACGAGAAGTTAGGATGGTTCTTCCAACCAGGATTATAGGTATTGGCATAAGGATTTCCTTGAGCGTAATTTACCTGATCAGCCGTTATTCCTGCTAAGATTTGACATTCGGTTCCAACATGACCAGGTACTCCACAAACTTCGCAGCTTGGGGTAACTGCAGCTACGGTAGCTGTAGGAGGCAAGGTCAAGCTTTCTATCTTTTGGGTAAGAGCATCTACCTTAGCATTAACTTTATCTAGGCTACTAATCTCGTACATCCCGCCTTTGGCTTGAGTCTTCTCCACAGATGTTCTTTCTCCTCCCCACTGATAGTGGTTTTGAGCCATGTTTTCAATGAGTTGGTTAGCTTCGTCATAAGGCTTGTCCATCAGTGTACCACATGCGGTGACATCTATAGATAGTCTTGTGTTGTACAAGAGTCCGTTATAAAACGTGTGGATTATCAGCCATTTTTCTAGTCCGTGATGTGGGCACATTCGCATCATATCTTTGTAGCGCTCTCATGCATCGAATAGTGATTCAGTATCCTTCTGCCTAAATCCGTTGATTTGGGCTCTTAGTGCAGCGGTCTTGCTTGGGGGAAAGTATCGTGCTAAGAATACGATCTCCAGTCCTTCCCACGTAGTGACGAAATTTGATGGCAAGGATTGCAACCAAGCCCAAGCTATATCTCTTAGTGAGAAAGGGAAAAGACGTAATCTTATCGCATCTTTACTAACACCATTTGTTATAACTGTGTCGGCAAATTGAACGAATTTTGTAAGGTGTTCATTCGGATCCTCAGAAGGATCTCCAGAGAATTGGCGTTGTTGGATAGCTGATATCAATGACGGCTTTAACTCGAAATCGTTTTGGTTTATTGCTGGAGCACCAATGCTGTTATGGGGCTTTTGTTGTGATGGAGTTGCGTACTCCTTCAGTGGACGGGTCCTTTGTTCTTCGGCCATGTCTAATTCTGGATTGGTTTCGGTTTCAGAGGAAGAATTAGAATCAGTTTCAGAATCAATCTTGATTTCCGGTTTGGGTAAAGGAATAGCGTGATTTAAACAGTAATCCCTGACTGCACGTCTTACGGAAAAAATGCGTTCAAGTTCGTCCGTCGATTTGTCAAGTGGTTCGCCTTGTGAGCGAGTCCTTGGTATACAAATCGACAAAGGGTGTCTGTTGCTTAGTCTAAACGCGCAACAGAAGAATCGTAATTAATTGACTACCAGTCCCCGACAACGGCGCCAAAAACTTGATCGGGACTTTATATGTGTCGGGATACTAACTGCAAGTATACAGTTTAGTCGTTCTAGTTTTAAAAGATTATCGAACCCACAGAGACTGTGTATCAATCGCATACGATCTAATGCTACAGTTTGTCTAACTAAGCGATGAATATTCGATTTTTGGGGGAAACAGTTTAATTAAAAGTAATAGTACTAATTATACCGGTATGTGATAATCGGACTTAGGGAATTCGATGAATCGCTTGGCCTATAAAGTATTTCGGTAAAAGCTAATTGTTTAAAAACCTGAGACATACACTCTCGTGTTTATGAAATAAGTCATGCTACTAAACCTAGTGGATGCACTTTAAATTTAATAACACTTTTTGAAAACAATTTGAATTTAATTAATTTATTAAAACACTCTCGTGTATTTAAAAACCAATGTTTCGTTACCACTATCTGGGTTGAACCCCAACTCTCGCATGCAGGTTCTTGCCTTAATTAATTTCCCACTCTCGTGGCAAAATCGTGTTAATTAACCTCTCACTCTCGTGACAAAGATAGTTAAATTAATATTGGAAATTGGAAACCAGAAATTGTTTTATAAATATTTTTGACCAAGGTATCATTGAATTCTTTCAGTTCTTACGGTCACATACCGGTATTAATAATTTAGCCAGACATAATTAACTTAACAACAATAAAGTTTAAAATATAATTCATGGCAATAATTGGCATATTATAGAAACTGAATAAATAATAATTGCAATATAAAAAAAACTTGAAATTAAAGATGTTATAGTAATCTTGAGGTAATACAGTAATCCAATCTTCGAGCTTGACTTGCGGTAGAAATTCGTGTTAATTCTTGAAAGAAGAATTAACACTTAAAAATAGAAACTAAGGCTTGAATGAAAATTACAAGAAAATGGAAGCAGAATTCCAAAACAAACAAATTGGAAATAACTGTAAAATAAAATAAATCTTTGCTCTGAGTAAAATTCTTCGACCCTTGGACTGTGCCTTGGTACTCATATATATAGCAGGAAAAATCAGCAGTTTAATTTTGAATTCTTGATGAAGTCTTCGTGGAGAAATTGTAGGAGCAGTAATAGTGGTGGCAATAAAATAGGAGATTCAGTAGAAACAGGGAGAAGTAGTCTGCCCTTCACGCCCACGTCTTCAATCCATGCGTAACGTCCTCCTTCACGCGCGTGACGGTCGTCACACGCTGAAGTGGTGCCTTACGCTCGTCAGGTGTGTGTGACGAGCGTTTCCTTATGTTGTGGGGTGTTACGCCCGTCACAGGGACGTGACGACCGTCACCTATCCAGAAGTCCCAACTTTGTATTTTTTTAATTCTTTTTCTCTTTGTATTTCGTCTAGCCTTCTTCATTTTGTCCTTTTTCATTGGTTTGAGTCGACAAGTGTTATACCTGCAAAAAGACAAATAATCTTGAAATAATCGGGGGTTAGACGACTTAATGAAATATAAAATCGGTAAAAAGCATGTTAATTATACGATATGTTTTTTCGTTATCAACAGACCAAGGATTAGGATTTGTATTGCATTGAATCATGAGCCCAATATGAGGAAATCACATCCGACCCATACCAAAAAATAGTGCCAACGCATAACATCAGTTGCTTAACCAACAAGAAACTTGGTACAAGGAGACCATGATGGGAGACAAAGTGTATGGTGACAGATTGCCACGGCAGGTGCAGGTGGCGCATTGTTCTTTGCATAGTGTATTATTGTACCCACTTTTGTTCTATATCACCTACACCTTTGTGCTTTGAATTTGAATTGTTTCTTCCTTTTTTTCAGCACAACGTGTTCCCTCCAATTTATCTTCCTCCCACGCTATCATTATCAGCTAGCTGATTACAACAATTATTTCCCTTTTCCTCTACGTCCTTCTAACTTCTTCAGCTTGTACTTATGCAGCAGACCACTATAATCTTACCTCAACTCGACTCTACTAACCTTTTATTTACAAAAAAAAAAATATTAATAATAAAAAAGGAGCACCTATTGTGCTCCAAACTAAACAAATAAAAACTATTAAAATGTAAGAAAATACAACTATTAAAATAAATAAATAAAAAGACTAATTAATAAAAATTAAAAACATGTATTAACTCACAGAATATAGATTAACATTAATCCAACGATCTTGTGTAAAAAGAGACCAAAACAAGGTAACTATCACTAATCGCTTCACTATCAGAATGTTTAGTTGAAGGATTTTGGATGTGGGAGATACATTTTTATTCCCTTAAGTTTCCTTAAGTTTTACATGTGTTATCAACAAATAACACATGTTAATAATGCCTAGGTCTTTATTAGGGAGTTAGTCAATTCAGTTAGACAATTCTTTTATAGCTTAGAGTATAATCGGTTTTGGTAGTTAGTAAATATATACCATTTGTAATTCATTTTTCATACTAATTAATACAGAGTAAATCCGAAAGATAGTCTCTAATCAGCCTCTCTATTCTCTATTATTCCTTAATTATTTTTTAGTTCAAGACTCGAGCTTTTCTTAGGCTATACACATGTTAAGTTTGTCCCCCAAAAAACTAAAAACACATGTCACAAGCACAAGTCACAAAAGGAGATATATATGAATAAAATAAAAGAATACAATAAAAGCATACAGGGTAATAAGACCCTAAGAATGCTCTTAAAATAGTACAATAAAAATTATACTAATGCTGAATGAATCTTTATTTAGAGACCATAACTAAACACAAAAATACTTATCAGTATCATTCTCTAAACATAACAACAGTATGGAGATAACAATGAAATCATGAGTGATAATATAAGTAGCCAAACACAAATTTAGTAGCAAGTGATGTCATGAAATGTTTTAGGCACTTTTCTTGTTTGGCTCAAAGACATACTTGATAAGTGATTCTTTGATGGAAAGCAATTCTGGAAACTCGTTCTTCAATTTGGATGCATCCATTTCATTGTTGCTTCTTGCAGCAACTATCACCTTGGCTTGTTCTTCAAGTGTGAAGTTAAGCCACTTGAAATTTGGATCGATGTAATCCCTGTACATCTCGAGAATCTCGTTGTGGCTCACCGCGCCTGGATTTGTGAAGTTCCAGATACCTCTTAGGTTCCTCTTAGCCATCTCGATTGAAATAGGAAGAAGTTCATCCAAAATAGTCATGCTGTTTGGAATGTTAACGACTTTGTTGTATCGCGAAATCTTGGTGATGAAATTGCGTGGGTTGCTTAGGTCGGATGAAATTGGCATGCGAACTCTGAGAGTGCATACATTGTCATAGTCTTTCAAGAGCTCTTCAACCTAAGAAACATTCACGGATTATTCAGAGATATTAATATTCATAATCAATAAACATCTTAATGGAAAACGACTTTACTTGAAAAAGATCTGTTCCATAGGTTCGTACTATTTCGGGAGAAAAAAATCATAAAAGATGTTAGCTAACTCACCATAGCCTTAGTTTTGGAATAGAAAGAACCGCTGAAATTAGGTGTGTCTTCCTCCTTAAAACCAATGCCCGAACCTTCTGGATGAGCTTCATCATACTCGAATATGCACCCGGTAGCATAGTTTATCATCAAAAGGTTATGCTCTCTGCTGACATCAGCCAATGTTAAAGTACCAACAACGTTGACGCGAATTGTTTCTGTTTTATGAGATTCACACCAATCAACATTAGGTCTTCCAGTCACTCCTGCTGCATTGAAAATATGAGTCGGCTTCACGTTCTGAATATCAGCCACAAGTGATGAGCGATCCTCAAGACGCCCTTTTCCATACTCATATGGAATCCCTTGTTTCTCACACAATTTCCCGAGTAAACCACCAATCCACCCTGTCCTTCCATAGATCAAGAACTTGAGAGGATGTTTCTGCAAAGAGCCAACATTCTTGGTTGTTGGAACCAACATTCGAGTGTTCGTATTTGAGACATATGATGCCGACTTTTCGTCTTCAGATCCATTGAAATGTCTCTCCTCCATGCCACCGGGCATCACCAGCATCGGATGAGGAAGCAATGCACCACTCACATCACCCCACCAATCGGGATTGCTGATATACCAATCCATGGTTTTCTTCAAGCCTTCTTCCCAGGTAGTTCTCTCTGACCAACCCAAACTCTTCAACTTTTGGTCGTCAAGAAAGTATCTCTGATCATTAAACGGTCTGTTCTCCACAAATTTAATACTAGTCTCTGGATCCTTCGAGAAGAGTCTGCATAAATCGGTGGCTACATCGATAACTCTCCTTTCCTTCTTCGTCCCAATATTGTAAACATGTCCAACCTCTCCCTTGTGAAGGATAACTTCAAAAGCCTCCGCGACATCTTCACAATACAAATAACTCCTCACATTTGAACCATCACCATGAATTGGAAGAACTTTGCCTTGTAATGCCAAGAGGATGAACTTAGGAATTAACTTTTCAGGAAACTGATTCGGGCCGTAGACATTGTTTCCGCGTGTTGTGATCACGGGTAATCCATACGACCTACCATATGCCATGACAAGCATTTCCGCCCCAGCTTTTGTTGCAGAGTACGGATTTGTTGGAAGTAGCTGAGAAGCCTCGTGGTTTCCAACAACAGCATCCTCATCAGTCTCTCCATAGACCTCGTCAGTGCTTACATGGATGAATCTTTTGATCTGGCCAGTTACCTTGCAGGCTTCTAGCAAAACATGAGTACCATATATGTTGTTCTTGGTGAACTCAAAACTATTACCAAAAGAGTTGTCAACATGAGTTTGAGCAGCAAAGTGCATAATTGTGTCAATCGCCTCGGTGATGAGAAGATAGTTAACAAGGTCAGCACTTCCAATGTCCCCCTTCACAAACTTGAAGTTGGGGGACGATTTTGAAGGAATTAAATTCTTCAGATTTGAACAGTAATCAAGTTTGTCAAGAACAACTATTTTGTAGTCAGGATAATTCCGGATAAGCCGGTTGGCAACATGAGATGCAATGAATCCAGCTGCCCCGGTAATCAGGATATTTTTTGGGGTATGTGTAGTCATATCAAGCAACTTCTACAATAACAAAAATTGCAGATAACAAATACAAATCAGAACTACTGAAAATATAATCAAAACATTCCCTTTTCACTAAATAATCACATAAACAAAAACAAAAACATGGCATTCTTCAAAAGCTGTTAGTCTCATAATGAACAAAATAACCTTCTACTTCTAACTCGAAGACTAAAGTCAAACCTTTTAGCAACATATTTTCATGATCCATTTGCTTAAGTAAAAATAATCAATTCATTATATCATTTACCAGTGAATTACATTATACAAATCTAATCATTAACCTGTGAAGCACAGACATCATCAGAAACACGATACCGATACATCAACACCAATAATAATAAAAATTAATAAATTAAACGTTATTACAAGTGTCGATATCAGTTTTGGACACCAACACGGCACACTTTTTAAGTGTCGGTGCTACATGAAGAAAAAAAAATGGCAAAATTAAAGCTATACTTTTTTTCCCACTCTATTTCAATCAACCGAAGTAATGAAAACACAAACAAAATTTCAAAGCAATGAATCAGATTTCATATATAACACTCCAAAATGCAATGAAATATCCAAACATCACACTCCCCTAGCTTAATTCATAACAAATTCAACACAGATGTAATTATTTCACTTGGATCAATGATCATCTTCAAAATGACAACAGATCCAACAAAAAGGAGAAACACCCAGATCGCAAAAACTACCCATTAGCACAAATTTCAAATCTTTAAAGAAACAAAATCCAAAACATCTAATGGGCCATAACTTATATCAATAAAAAAAAAAAGAGTGGGAGTGAGAAACAACTTACATATTGGCAAGAGAATGAGAAGAAAAGAAGAAGAAGACGTGAAAGAGTTGTGACAAAGTTGGAAGTGAAGACGAAATCTACGCAGATTTAGATTTGGAGTTTATACTGCTTCTTTGTTGTATATATACGCGCTTGTGTATGAAACTAATATTGATCTAATTAATAACATTAATGATTATTCAATGCAATCAACAAAAGCCACAGAAGATGGCGAATGACGTAATTGCCCTCATACATGATTACTTTTCTAAATTTTATTTTTATTTTAATTATCAAGGTCAACATATCGAAATTGTGGAGTATCGAATCTAATTTTTCTTATCAAATATATAATCACTATTGAATCAACTAACAAATTACCATTGAAATAATTAACAATTAATTATTTTTTAAATCATTTTGTTGTGATTAAGATAGACATAATAATAACTAATTATTACTTGCATTAAAAACATTTATTTATTGCTATATAATCATTTTCTATTTTTTCTCTCCATAATACTCACTTTCTAACTAATTACTATAAGTAGTACTATCTTTCCCAAATAATAAGTTCTTAAAAAAATAAAATATTAAAAAAAATTATAAATTACTTTATAATTTAAAATATTTTTTTTAATTATATTTCCATTATTTATTAATTTTCTTTTTTTATATATGATTAATGAAGAATAAAATTACAAAATCATTCATAATTTTTCTTTTTTAAATAAAATTAATTATTTTCTTAAATTTGTGTGAAATATTAAAAATATCTTGTAAATTAGGACGGAGTGAAAATTCTAAAGAAGAAAAAAATAACATTTCTTTAAATAATAAATTCATTTATAAATTATAAATTCATTTATAAATTATAAATGCATTTATTATATTTTTCTTAAGAAT